GAGGGCCGCATCCCCACCCCCCAATGCCGAGAGAGGGGTGGGTTGTCAAGAAACAAAAAAATATTTAAAGCTGCAGTTACTATTACAGCCATAAATGATACAATAGTAAATATAGTTGCTGGGCATGCAACAAGTTTCATTATAAATATGCAGTTACAGACAGGGTAACACAGGAATGCAAAGAAAGGGTCTGCTATGCTCTTTAAAACAGGAGTAAAGCATTTAAACATAATTTGTCCCATGTTCATTCTTCAACATTCAGAGACTGTTTTAGCAGGAGCTTCACAAATATTTTCCCCCTGCTTAAGAGTTTAGATATCAAAAGATCCTAATAAAAACCATAAAGCTTGTTTACATCTAGAATTGTCATTTAAGACATATGCGCTTCCATGGACATTTTAGAACACTGTAATACAGCTTTGTATATTAGCACATAATATATTACCCCACTAAAGTGGTTTCAACTAACATTTTGACTAGTCAACATTTTGTCTCTGGAACTTAACATGCCTGCATCAAAAAACACTTCCAAATACAGCCAGCCTCTACTAGGCCGCAACTTTTTGAGGACAGGTGTATTTTGATGGCTATTCAGCTTCACAATGGAAATCCTAGCAGTTGCAGCTCCTCAGCTGATTATCTGAAAGGCATTGCCCCCAGCCTCCTAGTTGAGCACAGGCACGTGGTCTCTCAGCCCTCAGCATCATCAGTCAGACAACTTTAAAAATCTGAGCATCTGAAATTTCAGTTTCACTGCAGAGCAAAGGACAGAAGACAGCAGGTGCCAATTCCAGTTATTGCCGCTGTCCTGAATTTCAAGTCCTACACTGAACTTTCCATACGCATTCGGACTCCCGAAGCTGTTGTCAGACCTTCTCTCCTCTGACAGAAATCCAAGTGTATGCAGAAACAAAAGGAACGTCCATGTTCACCTTCCTTCCTTATGGTCACAAATCATAAGGCTGAATTTGCTTAACCACGGTGTCTCAACAAAAGTATCATCTTTGGAATGAAGCACATTCCTCTGGACTTGACTGTGTTCTTAGAAGATAACAGAACAGCTGTTGATTTCCACACACAGATTTTCTTTTAATAAACATATCTACAGACACTGAAGTTTATGTACCTGAATTATTCATTATTCTTCCGCAAATTCTCATACAACATCTTGCAAAATTTATTGCTGGGAATGTTAGCTACACTACAGTACTTAAGATCAAGTACTAAGATAATGTCAGGATCTTTCCATATAAAGATTTCCATGGGAAAAAAAGTTAATGAAAGTACAAATTTCTGAAAGCCTTTAATAAAGGATCTGTAACTGAAGACTGAGAATAGTAGATTAATTACTGCAAAGTTTCTAACTACAGAAGCTGAGAAAAAAAAAATTACCAGTACTTTTAACAAAATAGAGGTAGACTGTAACAATGCATTCTGCACCAAAATGACATAGTCTTGACAGAGACACACTGGGCAACTAATTTTTTTTCATAATACATTTAACAGAAAATGTGATTCTGTTCACATAAGAAAAATTATGATGACTCTCTTTCTACAAATACAATATTTTAAAAAAACTGATGTAAAGCATGGAAGAATATTCTTAATAAGTTTTTAGTTTGTGCACATACTCACCCCTTTTTAACCTATAATCTTGTAAGATCTTTACAAGTCACAGACAACTTAGGAAATTAAGTTGACCAGATCTTCTTCAGAGAAAAACTCCAACATTAATAGGATTTCAACCTACAGTGAAATGTTCTACTCTGTCATGCAGCATCACACGCATATTAATTCCCAGGGTGTCTCAGTCTATACTAGACTAGAAATTCTGAAGAGAATTCCATTTTGTCTATACACATGGAAAAAGAGGCAAATTCCTATGTACTGAACAGTGTTTCCTTAGATGAAACGAAGTGGCACTTGTGAATGTAACCTGGACTGAGAAAAATTTATTTTAAAATTCTGTTAAACTTTACAGTTAGATAAAACCTGATCAGTGCTCTCATTCACTTGCACTCAACACAAAGCCTACTGTAACTTTTTTCCAAACCTTGGAAAATAAATTAATTCCAGGCCTTGACCAAAGAATTCATCAGGCAACTGGACAGCTAAAAAGAGTAAGGTTTTTACCTTAACTGAAAGCCTGTAGAGAAGGCTTAAAAAGTTAGTTGGAAATATCTGAGCATTCAAATACACATTCTGTCTTTGAAATTTTCTACAAGTAAAAGTCTACCAAAAAATTGCTTTGTCCAGTTCTTACTCTCTACTAACACAAATAAGCTGGATAAAACTAGCCAGCTGGCTTTTAAAATTATATTTGAAACAACTTTAGACCTTCCCTAAGCATAAGTACAAAGATTATCAAAGACTTCCTCCCCTTAATGATTGCCTTCACTGTATATGTCAACTGGAATACCATTCAGTCTCAGCCAGGGTATGTAGAATGTAAATTAAGAGGCAATTTTAGGGCTTCTGTGAAGACAAAGAGGGCTTCATCCTTCAGAGAACAAGTATTTTTCACAGCTAGTTTTATTCTCAATTACACCATAATCAAGTGTTGGCAATTATTGTCTTAAAAGCTATGAAAGCATGATTTCAACCCAGCAACAAATTTAGGATCAACTCTATATTCAGTTACAAGTCACTGTCCTATAGAGACCTTCTCTAGAATGCTTAATGTTAGCAAGTTTCACTATACATACTTAAGTATGCCGTAATTCAAATATCAGTGAAATTTTGTCTAAGGGACTTGTCAATAAATGAAGACATTTATATATTTAATGGAGCCATAATTTTTGTTTTCACTGTCATCAACTGCCATCAGAAGAAACAGCTTGTTTCTCAGTATATAAAAGCAATGGCAAAGATGAGCAGGAAGAATTAAATACCCAAGTGTGTGGCATTAAGTGCATGGCTTAAGTAGGGTTTTGTTTGGGTTTGGTTTTTTTTCATATTCTTTTAAAGTGCTTTGTATGATCCACCATCAAAACATGCTTGTGTAAAGACAGATGCTAGCATGGTTGATATCACAGGACTACAAAAAATTAAGCATTCACACTATTGCTTTGACGTGAATATTAAAAAAAAAAATGCAAAGGCCCATATATTTAGATACTGATTAGAAATGTTTTTACATCTCTTATATACAACCAAAGAACATGTTACACTCAGATTATTAGAACCAGCCTGTTCTGATACAGTTTACAAAGTGGCAAAGCCCACAGTAAAGCTATTGTTTTACTTTTGTAATGTAAACACATCTCGAAGAATATGCTAACAGTTTCAGAGATGAGATGACTTAAATAAGTAAAACCAAAGCAACTGGGCATATCAACCTTTTGTCTCTACAAGGTTTAGCTCACAAGCTCAGGCTGTACATTTATTCTTTGAAGGACATCTTCTGGCATACAGAAGACAGGATTTACAGCCTTAATTTGTTCTTCTCCCAGCAAAGATAGTCCAGCAATTCCAAATAAGGTGTGAAATGGATCCACCTGGAAGAAGAAAGAAAGTTTGTATGTCTATTTCCAAAAGTCAATCAGCTTTTTCATTTGTATGGAACGAAGCTTTTGTTTGCTAATAAGAGAACTGTAAATCTCCATGGCTGGAGAAGGCAATGCAACTGAATAAACTTTCATTTGTGCTGATGTGTTGACAGGCAAGACAATTTCCACAGCATACATTGACAATACTATGATTTACTCAGAAATGCTTGTTGATTGCCTGCTGCCAAGATGATTTTCAGCTCTGAATCTGGCAGGAAGCACTCCCGTGTCTCCATTAGCACACAATGTCATAGGGTAGCAGATGCAATGATAATAAAAATTTTAAAACTAAATTTGATCATCTACAAGTACCACTTCCATAAATTCCCCATTTGCCCTTCAGCAACATTATAATGCTCTTCGATGGTCTTCGAATACAGAGCCGTGCTGTAAGATTTTGAGAGGGGAACAGCAACCTACTGTGCTAGAAAACTGAAAGGAAAACATACAAGGAAGAAAAAAAAACCCAGAAGAGACAAGAGCAGTTACTTGGTATCCAAGTATTCCTTCACTGCGCGCGAACTTTTCCTAAAAGCATGTATCACCATGTAACTGCAATAAAGTCTCATGACATAAGCATCCTGTCAGTGGAGTTAATTAGCCATTCTACAAAATCCTATCCAAAAGTACCTGTGCTGTTTGGTGCAGCGTACATCCTGTTTGCATTAGTGGAACTTCCGGTCTTATGGCAAAGGTCCTATACTGCAGTAGTCTAAGCTGAATTACCATGTTACAGCCACATACGGTATCTCCAACCACTGATCACAGCCTAGAGGGTTCAAACTACACTAGAATAGCAAGTCTTGCTCTTCAGGGGTTTGGCAATCACATTACAGGTGTGATCAAAGCTCAGACATGTTTGCTTGCTCCTTCCCAGAATAAGTACATGGCCATTAGAGAGGGGATAAAATAAGTATGTAGCAAAATTAACAGTAACAACAACAATAACCAGTACACTTCAGGAATGGCAAGACAGAATTTCCTTGTACAGATGGACAGGCCCAGAAAGGGAGACAGTCCCCAATGGGAAGCGTGCAAATGGGAGTTACAGATTCAACCTCTGGATGAACAGTATGTTCAAGGAAACCCAGATTCCTAGAAGATGTATCTACTGCTATGTTGTCTGCTACTTTCTGCAGTTTTCTTTAAAGCAAATAAAAAAGGAAAAACCTGCTGAAGTACAACTAAGAGCTAATAAGCACAGCTAAGTTAAGTTATCAAGAACTAGCTGCTTGGAACTTAAAAAAAGATGACAGAGCTGCCTTATTGTCAAGTGGTTCAAATCCTGAAATACAATCACAATGTCAAATCTAGACTAGAACCTAGAACCAATTAAACACCCCCCCTCCAACCCTCAAAACAAACAAACAAAAAACCCAAACCAACAAACACACAGAAAAACCCCACCCTCCC